AAACGTAAACGTAAAACGTAAAAGTTAAAAAGTAAAAAAGTTAAAAACGTAAACGTAACGAACGAGACGTACTACTACTACTACGTACGTACGTAGTGTGTGTGTGTGTGTGTGTGTGTGTGTGTGTGTGTGTGAGAGAGAGAGAGAGAGAGAGAGAGAGAGAGGACATACCCAAATTTTTTCTTCCTGGCGGGTTCTTGGAAGAGGATTTCGGTGGCAGTCTTGAAATCCATGTTATAAATCCTGTCCTCCTCAGGAGTGAGATCCCTAACTTGTGAAGCAGCAGAAGAAGAAGAAGCAGAAGAGGAGGATGATGAAGAAAGGGTCCTATGAGCTAAAAACCCATAATTGCCAGAGTCCAAGTGTTGTTGTAGAGGAAGACGTAAAAATTGCCTAATCATCTGCTTACAGCTCTGAGAGTAAATTTGTCTCATTTAGCCTGAAACTCAATAATCTCTGCATTTGATAATGGTGAAGAGAAAGGGGTTAACAAACACAGATCACGAACTAAACTTGCAGGAAGCAACTCTGACAGAAAATATGAATAACACAAAATGAATACTCAAATAATGATCTGAGAAGAGAAGAATCAAATAAAACAGTGCCTAGTTCAAAGCATTTATCAAAGAAAGACAGACTTGAGCATTAATAAGGTAACAAGTTAAAGAAATGCCTTACAGGTCACAACGATGGCTTGGAGGCAGCTATTGTTGCTCAGAAAGACATAATATTTTAGATGACTTATGATAATATTTTAGGTGATATATGTTTATTATATAGCATAAAACGTTTATATATGGTGTCAACCTTATACTATTGAAGTAAGATGCACCACAAAACTACTCTTGAAGAGAGTATTCTGGTGTAGGAAAAACCTCCAATTGAAAAATACAAATATAAAGAAAAAAAGAATTTCAAGTCCTAAAAATAATGCATCTTGTAACAAGTTATCTACATCATTTATTTTCAAGATTTTCAAGTGTTTATAGATCTACTCAATCTGTATTATTCAGGGTGTAAAACATCGGCGAGTCGGCACAGAATTGCCCGGGTCAACCCGGGAATCGGTCATCCCGGGCCGATTCTAGCTTAAAACAAAAAATTGGCAGTGTTTAGAGGCGAACCGACGATTCGTACCAATAGCTAGGTGAGTTGCTACAGTGACATGGGTGAATCGACCCGATAACATGCACTGCTATATAGTAAAACCCCGTGATTTCATAGGCTTTCACAGAAAAAGCTATTTTTCCACCGAAAAAGCTATAAAAATCCAACTTGTTTTTATCAATAACTGAGGGGAATAATTTTTTAAGTTCATAAAACATCGGTTGGGCTTGGATCACACCCAAGAAAACAAATTTTCGTGAAATATTTGATTGAAATTTGGGGATTTTTTAGCAAATTAGGGTTTTCTGCCAAAACTCTATTTCTGTCGTAGTTCTTCATCAATTGATCCCTTGTTTTTGCTGAATGATTGTGGTAGTATATGCTTTCATCAAAGCATGTACCATGATTTGTTGTTTTATATTTAAATTTTATGAATTTTTTTTTTAGCCCGTGTTCTTCCCCTTTTTCATCAAAAAATTCGTTGTTTTTTGATGAATAATGGAGGAGAATCACTTTTTAGGTCCATAAAACATCGGTTAAGGTTGGATTGAACCCCAAAATATGCCAAATTGTAAAATTCTTGACTGAAATTTGGGTTTTTTTTAGCCGATTAGGGTTTTACGCCACGATTTATGTGGCTATTCTTCATCAATTTGATCCGTTTTTTTGCTGAATCATCGTGGCAGTACAGGCTTTCATCAAAATCAGGTACCATGTTTGTTGTATTATATTTTAATTTTACGATTTTTTTGAACCTATTTTCTTCCCCTTTTTCATCAAACAATATCAAAATTCGTCTTTTTTTGATGAATAATGGAAGGGAATCACTCTTTTAGATCCATCAAAAAATCATCAAAATCCAACACCAATCGATGTTTTATGGACCTAAAAAGTGATTCTCGTACATTATTCATAAAAAAAAATACGAATTTTGATGATTTTTTGCTGAGAAAGGGGTAGAACACGGGCTAAAAAAAATCGTAAAATTAAAATATAAAACAATAAATCATGGCATCTGATTTTGATGAAAGCCTGTGCTGCCACCATCATTCAGCAAAAAAACGGATCAAATTGATGAAGAACAGCCACAGAAATCGAGTTTTGGTGTAAAATCCTAATCGGCTCAAAAAAACCCCAAATTTCAGTCAAGAAATTCACAATCTGGCATTTTTTGGGGTTCAATCCAATCCCAATCGATGTTTTATGGACCTAAAAAGTGATTCTCCTTCATTATTCAACAAAAAAGACGAATTTTGACGATTTTTTACGATTTTTTGGCTGAAAAGGGGAAGAACACAGGCTAAACAAAAATCTTAAAATTAAAATAAAAGATAACAAATCATGGTAACTAATTTTGATGAAAGCATGTACTACCACGATCATTCAACCAAAAAAAAGATCAAATTGACGAAGAACAACCACAGAAATCGAGTTTTGGCGGAAAACCCTAATGCGCCAAAAAATCCCCAAATTTCAGTCAAATATTTCACGGAAATTTGTTTTCTTGTGTTCAATCCAAGCCTAATCAATGTTTTATGGACTTAAAAAATTATTCCCCTCCACTATTGATAAAAAAAAAAAGCTGGATTTTTACAGTTTTTTCGGTGGAAAAATGGCTTTTTCTGTGAAATCATGGGGTTTTGCTGTAGCAAGGCATGTTATTGGGTCGACTCACCCGTGTCACTGTTGCAACTCGTCGAGTTACTGCTACAAATTGCCAATTCGCCTTTAAGCGTGCCCGATTTTCTATTTTAAGCGAGAATCAGCACTGGATGACCGATTCCCGAGGCGATTCTATGCCGACTCGCTGATTTTTTAAACCATGATTCCCAAATTAGAGATCATCCCAAAACCCTAAAACACAATTTCCAATGAAATTATCTATCCAATCCACAGAATCCTAAAGTCATACACCGGAAAATCACTAATCCCAACCGCAAACCTGCAATCCCCAATGCTTGGATCTAGAAAAGTAATCATTCCCAACCCATCGAACTCACAGCTACAAGCATCATGTTTCATCACTCGATAATAACCATTGAAAATTTAAGAATTATTCCCAGATACCTCAATTAAGCAACAAGAATTCCGATGTAACAAAGTGGTGTATAATCAGCAACACTACAAGCTAGCTCCATGTGGTCTAAAGCCAAGGCCAAATCCCTATGGGGTCAGCCACACACCATCAAGAAGGCCAGTACAGAACATCATCTGCATTTCTCAGGGTTTTACAACCCAAACCGAGGTTGTAGGAAAACCTAGCCTCTCCATTGAAAGAAAAAACACCCCAATGCTTCTCAAACTTGACAGGCATTTTACTCTTTTGTTCTTCATCATAAAGACTGAAAAGACAGATATCCATAAGTGGGACTCCAGGCTTAATGGGGTTGTACCTCTCCTATAACAATTGGCATCTGCCCAAAATGAATCTTGGTTAGAGCTGCAACAAATGTTGCGATTTCCATCAAAGACATTGTAATATATGTTTGAGACATCTACCACAGGGTGAGAGGACCATCCAAAGAAAGCATGGTCTCATGAAAAATCAGAGGTTTGGTAGATGCTAAGAAATGGAAAAACGTTAACTACAAAAGGGGAGCCTGCTTTATTAAGAAGAGAGACAAACATGCAGAGACGCACACTCACACACTCCAAAGAAAAAGAGCAACAAAGCCAATGTGCAAAGCAATAATCTAGCCCTTGCATCTATTGAAGCAAAAACAATGTTATTATTGCCTACACCTTTTTCCTTTTAATATCAGAGAATGCACTCACATTACGGTCATGCATTTCTCACATAAGAATGTGTAAATGATAAGGATGATTTACAATAGGAAGATTCTACTTTTAATAGTAGTTCCTCTAATATTTCTCTGCTTTCAATGAAAAAAAGCATGAATATAAACTTAGTGACATACCTAACATAAATAGATGACAAACAGAGTTGGGCTGACATAGAGGTGAAAAATCAGGAGCTTGTATCCTTTTTAGAAGAGCAGAGGCCCAGGTTGATGGAGGAGCTTGTATCCTTTTTAGAAGAGCAGAGGCCCAGGTTGATGGAGGAGCTTCTATCCTTTTTAGAAGAGCAGAGGCCCAGGTTGATGGAGGAGCTTGTATCCTTTTTAGAAGAGCAGAGGCCCAGGTTGATGGAGAAATTTACTAAAAACTATACATCATGATTCAAAGCAAAGAGAAAGTAAGAAAAAACACCCGTAAGCATATAAGTCAGCAAAAGCTCCCACATCATTCATCTCATTTAAGGCAATGGAAATTTGTGGTCACAGATAAAGAAAAAGCAAAAATGGTCTAAAAAAACTGCATTTCCAGGGGCATGAACTTTTGTTAAACCATTAACAATTTGCAACCACAAACATAATCACATAAATGTACAGAAAATAATCCATGACGGCACAAGTTTACAGTTTCAGTTCCCATGTGCATGTAAGGAAGATACTCATTTTTTTCATGAGTAACGTGTTACTTCAGAACCCTCTTCCCTCAAGCAATTTTATATAAGCCCCAGAGTAAAGCCCTTGTTTCAGAAAAGTAGGTGATCCTCTAGCTATGCATACCTAAACCATTTTAAACAAATATGATATTTTTTTCTTTTTTCCTTGCTAAAGCACAACATAAATAAATAAATAAAAAGTCTAAAATCACCACTCAAAATCAAATACAATTAGCTTGCAAGAAGAAGACATGTTCTGAGGATTCAGCATACATGCAGCATTAAGAAGTAGTTCAGCAATTCAGAAGCTAAGAAAATCTTGAAATAAGGATTGACGACGATCTACAGAGGGAAAAAAGAAGTTTGTAGCCAACATAGCACCGTCCTAGTGATCAATTTCAGACTAAATCATAGAAGCTATCATTTTCATAATCATTAGCCTCAGTGATTTCCAGTGATAGAAAACTTGCAAACTAGGCCGAGTTACTGGTACTCAGCCCCTTGCCGAAAGTCGGGGCAATTAAAAAAAATAAAATAAAAATTATATTAAATTGTTAAAACAACGTCTAAATATTTTGTATGTAATTTGGATGGCTTTTTATGATGATGTGTGAGTATTTCTTGTCATATGCCCTATACTCTTCTCTTTTTCTGGATTGTTTCTGAAATGTCTCGAGCTATAAATCAATTTTTTCTATATCCACATTTTATATTTTTCTTCCATCTTGGTTGGACTTTTTATGGGGTTCTAGGTTTAGTTTTACTGTTTCTAGTTTTTTTAGTTTTAACAAGTTTTTTGAATTCGCTTTTACCTTTTTTGGCCCGTGCTCTACTTGGACTCACCTGAGTTACTCGGTTGAGGTAGGCCCAGAGTCCTGAGTCAGAGGGGAGCAAGATGGACTTTTTATGCGGTTCTAGGTTTAGTTTTATTGTTTCTATTTTATTTTTTTTTCTAACGAGTTTTTTGAATTTGCTTTTACCTTTTTCGGCCCGTGCTCTACTCGGACTCACCCAAGTTACTCAGCTGAGGTAGGCCCAGAGTCCTGAGTCAGAGCGGAGCTTGTGAACCTTGGTGATTTCACATGAAATTAGTCCTGCAAGTGATAGAATGCAGAGCCGCCAGTTATTAATTCAGCAACCTAGTGAAAAAAATATACCTTTTGCGCCAAGATAAAGAGGTGCTCCATTTCAATCCTTTTCATTCTCCCTTTCAATATATATATATTTTTTTTTTGAAACAGGTTAACTTTATTTCTACCTCTCAATTTCAAAGAACAAAGAGAAGTAAAATTATTTTTAACTACTCAGAAAATCACATTTTACATTTCAAATATTCATCATCCTTGCACTTGAAGACCACGGAAGCAGTGATAACAGGAGATTCTTAATTATTATTATTTTTTGAGGAGAATGTTAACTTTTGGATAATAAAAATATTTACACGAAGATACATCTACCAACGGCAGCCCACATATTGGGTGCTCAGACTACACTCAAAATTGAAGTACAGAACGAGCAAGTTTGCTCAAAGGGGAGAGAGGGACAAATTCCTAAGTTAAAAGACAAATAAAATATTTACATGGAGATTCTTATTCTTATCAAAAGAAAAGATAATTCTCTTTATTAAGCATTCCTCTCACATTTTTTTTCGAGTTATTACAGAGATGCATAGAGATACAGAAATTTTCCATAAAAAAAAAAAAAGCCACTAATTGCTCAAAAGCTATTAAAAAAAACCACATAATAGAAAATACACTAGAAAATCCCTACAAAAATCACTGCAAGAAAGAAAATCAAAAGTGTACCTGATGCTTGAGGATTTAGTTTGATTGGATGCTATCTGGTTTAATAAAACTCAAATTGCTTCAATATCGAGCTCAACATTCTTCAATCTTGAAGATTAGGGCTTTGAGAGACGGTTCCTTCGAGGGATTAGAGTACCCGGGTTTTGTTTGGAGAAATTCGGGAGATTTTTATTTTATGTTTAATTTTTGGGAGTTTTGAAGTGGGAGATTAGGGGTTTTCAAAGAGAGATTTGGGTACATTGAGAGAGAGAGAGAGAGGAAGGATGTGAAGTCTTTTCCTAATTTTTTTCGGCTTTCTCCCGTGGAAACTGATTTCTCAGTGGTCTAGTTGTTATTTACCACTACCCAAACGTTAGAAATATGTATTTTTGGGAAAATTATAGATGCCCCTTAATTACACTTTCTACTCGTTCCAACTTTGAGGGCTTTTGAAATTGGGAAAAGTTCATACAAGTCTGAGGCTTTAAACTATCAAATTATTGCGTACCTCAAAAATTTTACTAAAAGAGGTTGTTTTGATGCCCAAATAGATCATCTCAACCTCAAGATGCATGGACATGACAAAAAAATGGCTTTTAAGTTTTCGAAAATGATGCACCTTGTAATGTAATTTTTTACTGTTAATTTTCAAGTTTTCATAGACCTGCTTGATTTATACTTTTTTTTAAACTTTAAATTTTATAATTAGAGATGAAAATATTTTTTAAAGCTATCATAATGATTTCCGGTATTGAAATCACATTTCTTGGCATTATTTGACGGGAAAGGTTTCTATGCTTCCCCTACAGCATAGAAGTTCTATCCCACCCCTACCATCTAGCCGTCCAATTTTGATCAAGAGAGTCACTCATCGTTTGATCTTAGATCTGATGTCTCAAAGTATTTTATTTTTAGTTTTTTTTATACAAATTGTATGAATCTAAAATTTGGTATATACGATCAAATCATTGGGGCGCAACTATAAACAATATTAAAAATAATTTTTCGATAAAATATAATGACCAAAATACCTCTTGCAACTTTCAGGAGTATTTTTGTTATTTTATTTTATTGAAAATATTTTTTTAATATTTTTCACTAGTGCGAATTTAATAGAGGAATGGATGTCCAAAATTTGGTGTCAAAATAGTTTATACAAAAAAGCTAAAAATAAAATGGTGTAGAGACATGACATTGTGATTGGGGCAATCTTAGCCCTCCATTCACAATAGACTGTTGGATAAAAAGGAGGATAGAACTCCTATGCTGTAGGGGAAGCATAGAAAGATTGCCCATATTTGACGGTGTGCTTTACTTTGATTGTTTAGAGCATTGGCATTATACAAATTGCACTTTTTCAAATTATACCATTAACTTTAATTCTATTATTTTTATATCCATTTTTAAGTAAGAAAGTAATATTTTTAAGACAAAACTACCTTCATATATTTAAGATAGTTTATCCTCAACATTAGACCTTTGAAGTGCTCAACATTTTTAGACATTTAGATACTTTTATCCTATAATACAATAACTTTTTGTTTAGGGGTATTTTAAGTAAATAGTCAAGATAAACTAAAATTATTTAATAAAAACAAAAACATTTATTAACAATGACATCACAGTGTGTGACATCACCCACAAGATGTATTAATTGTTTTTAAATACAAATAGAATGGCAATATTTTTATATAAATATCCATTGTACACCTTTAAATGACCAAAAATACCCCTATTTGAAAATTTTGGTATTATAATTCAAAAGTATTTTACTGTCCAAAAATATTGAGTACTTTAAAGTTCTACACCACCAAGTGATGTGGCCTAACAAAACCCATTTTTAAATAGATAAACTATTTCAAATAATATCTAGAAAGAGAAACTATCTCAATTTTTTAAGTTTTAGATATAGATGTATTTGTTGAGAGAGAAACTATCTCAATATTTTTGAGAGAGAAACTATATCAAATTTCAAGTTTTAGAAAGAAAAATTATCTTGAAATTTTAGAAATATAAACTATCTCAAAATTTTTAGAAAATCCATACATGTGCATGGATGCAGAGCAAAAACTTGGGTATAGCAATCCCAACACTCAAAATTTACACCTCTCGTGTCAACAAGGTGTCGAGCCTAGGCCTTTTGAGGAAAACTTTGAAGGGCTAATCTTCGGTAGCATGGACAAATGTGTCCATATTTTTTTTGCATGTATCGACTCACTAAACACACATGATCTTTAATAACCTAGACACTTATTCTTATCCTTCCTGAAATCTCACTATAAAATTACTTAATGTGGAAATCTACCAAAAGTGGGGAATGCGCTTTGGAAGATTGTGAGAGGAGCAGTTACGTGGGAGATGTTGAAAGAGAGGAATAGACGAACTTTTAATGGGCATGTTTTATTGATATGGTCCTTTATATTGTCAAGCATACTTTGTAGTGTGGGGGGTCTCTCACGAAAGAGGGTGGGGAGTTTCGGAAGTGGATTTTATTTTAACTTTGGCTAATTTATTCCATATGGGTATTGTTAAATGTAGACTAATGAGTATTTGGGTGCCACCTTTGATGGGAGGGTTTAAACTAAACTTTGATGGGAGCTCTATGGGTAATCTAGAGGAGACTGGTATAGGAAGGGTGATGAGAGATTTGAATGTACACGGTATTTGCCTACGCTGACCCTATTGGTATTGCCACTTGAAATTTGTGTATGATTATTGGCTCTCTTTTAGGGTTTGAAGCCTTTCAAATAAATGAACTTTTGTGTTCGCGTGATGGTGGAAGGACACTCTTTGAATGTTCTTTGTTTTTTGGTAATTCAGTGGGGAATTG